TATTGCCCCTCTCTATGGAGAAGACAATAGAACCCAGGTGGCGGCTGTGAGCAACCACGGAGGATTTTACGGTTCTTGTAAGTGAAATCCCCCATTTTTTTCATTTCTCACCGTTTTTTGGGCTGTAACTTTGATGTGGTGGGTTCTAACCCATTTTCCACCATTTTCTCGCATATATGAGTTTTGGAAAGAGGCAAACACAGTTAGCCAGCAGCAGTTCTTCGGTGCTGAGTTCTAAGCTATTTTTTCGTTATTTTTCCTTTATGGAAAATTCTATGTCATTCTTAGCAATGATTTTTTTATGAAATTGTTAAAATCAAGCATTTTATCATTGTTATTATTACTGTTGTTGTTGTTATTATTACAAGAAATTGTTTTTTTAGTTATTTATTGTATTTTATTATATAAAATAAATTATTTAATAGTGTCATGTGTGTGACACATGGGTCCATGTGTATCGTGAAGGTTAAAATTATCATTTTCATCAAAATGGTTCAATTATTTCGATATATTATTCATAAAATAACATATATATATATATATATAGATAGATACATAGATAGATACATAGATAGATAAATAGATTTATGCATGTATGTATTTATTAATTTAGGACTATAATTGTCGTTTCCACAAAAATAAATACTTGTTAGTTAAGTGGCTTACCGAACATGTATCTCTAATAAGTACTTAAAATAAGTATAAATGATTTGAAAAAGGACTCCAAAAACACTGATAAGTATTTATTTCTCAAACCACTTATTCGTGAACATATCCCAATAAAAACGTTAGATTGGATTGTTGACACTATATCCTGGTAATTGATTCCTCTTTTGTTCCAAGTCAGTCCCACTTATGATCCAACACTGATTTGAGCCGTCTGGATCAATGCATTGATGGGCCCTCATGTTTCTTCTTTTCGATGATGAATATATTCTTTTATGGGATATTCATGGGACCTGATGTAGAGGAGAGACCTACTAATTTCCAGTGCCTAACAATTTCTCCAGAATTTCATTCAATAGCATTTTCTGAATCTCCTACTAGCTCTTCAGGCATCTGCATGACCCAACACAATGTCAAAACCTTCCTTGGCTATTATCATGGAGCCATCAATCATGGGCCTCTTATTGGCCCACGTCCTTCTGCATGTGTTACGTCCTGTTCTCATGTTTAAAAAGCGGTGATTGTTTAGATCAGCTACCAACACACGGTGCCAATAGCATCCAACCCGCCACTGCTGCACATTCTGCAATGGCCAATTGGGATGGTATTGGGAGCACTTTGTTGGTAAAAGATACTTACTCCGTTACTCATCACTCGGGACTAGGGTGATCATCAGTGACCAAGAGGAAGTTCAAGTCTGTTCCAATAACTGCTCACAATACTGTCCTAACAAGTCACTACAGCTGCACATCAAGAACCATGTATGGCTCCAATGTCCACCACATCAGCGCCCTACAAGGGGGCACCCCACAATGCCCCACAGTACATATCGACCTTGTTTGGGAAACATCTCCCTATGATGTCTCATCATTTCCCTACTTATTATCGGAAGATGTTCCCAATACAAATTTTATCAAGGCCCTACAGAAATAAGAAAAAGAGCAAAGGGAAAATGAAAATCAGAATGAATAGAACCAAAGATCCTAAGTCTGCTCCATAGGCCTGGATCAAAACCGTCATCTCTCAAATCTGTCCAAAGAACCTCTCCAACAAACACCGATATGAAGATAAATAAATGAAAACTCACATTCATAGATGTGAGAGAGAAACCCTCACGCAGAGTGTGAGAGAAAAACTTGCATCCATAGATGTGAAAGAAAAACCCTCCAACAGAGAGAAAATCCTCCCGCCGAGAGAGAGACCCTCATGCAGAGAGAGAATCCCCCCCCCCCCCGGCGAGAGAGATCCTCACACATTGGGCCACGTTATGGGCTGGCATGTGTGCAAGTAAGCATTAATAAAAAATGATTAATGATATTTGGATTTAACTTTTATGACATGCATGAAAATCAAGACAAGAATTTGCTTTTTATAATATAGATATGTTTTGCCTTTTTTTAACATGTCCAAGTCAAATTATAAATAAATTAATCAAAGCATTAAAATAGTTGTGCACCACCAACACCAATTGATTAGGTTTACATGTAGGGGTTGTCAACGGATCAGATTTAGGCTGGACCTTGTCACAATCAAAATCAATTTGAATGGACCAATAAAACATATTGAATTGGACCACTCCAGATTTAATGGTCCAAAGTATTCAGTGAATTAGACTGTACCTGTTCCATTTGTATGGATTTATATTGGGCTGGGTTGGCTTGATCCAATATCTATTCCATTGAGATAACTCATAAGACAAGAGTACAGGTGTCAATGGGCCAGGTTTGGGTTGGACCCAATCTAAATTAAAACCAATTTGAATAGTTTGGATGGTCTAGGCATTAAATTGGACCAGTTCAGAATGGTCCAAAGTATTCATCGGATTGGATTGGACCTGGTATATCTGTAATGGATTCATACTGGACCAGATCAGATTGGACCAATATCTGGTCCACTGACAGCCCTCCTTACACGAAGAAAAATGAAAAAGACCAACTTTCTCAGTTATTTATCAAAAAAAGAAAGAATTTTTTTTTTGAAGTCAAAAAAAAACTACCATGGTAAAAGGCAGAGAAACGCTTAACAAGTTCAGACTGAAAATTGAGTTCAGCACTTAGAGGTTTGAAATTTTATGTATATCAGGCATCATCAGGACTTTTGAAGTATAGGTGCTTGGAACTGCGGTTGTGGAGATAGAGTTTGTGATGTTGCAACTCTCTTTTCATGGAATTTTCCTTTCGGTCTTTTGAGGCTAACTTGATTATTGAATTAACCAAACTAGTTGCTAAAGATCTTAGCCTTGATCTGGCCTCTCTTCGGAGTTGGGAGGAAAGCAGCTTGCTTTTCCTTCCTTGAGGGTGTGGTTGGGTTTGGTTGCCATTGCTGGAAATTGAACTGGACTAAGTGAAGCTACAAAACCTCTATTAAAATGAAGGGAAAACATAGTGATAAGATAGTATTAGAATGTATAAGGCAGATTAGAAAGTGAAGAAATTCTTGCCTCCAACAGTAAGAAACAACTATGATCAAAACCCTTGAACAAGAAGCTGCAAGGAACCCACAATGGAGCAATTGTATTGAGCAAAGGTGGTGAAAAATTGGAGAGTAAGGGGTTTATATATTTGTCTTGTGGGCCAGACCAGTGTGAACAGGGTCCGAAGGTTTCACAATGGAAGGAAGGATATGATATCTATACAAGAATTTAAAGCGGGGAAATGAAAAAATGAAACAACTTAACTTGCAAAAGTCGTGACTTTGTTAGACGATAATGGGGATCCTTTTAAGTGCTTGGAGATGGGATTTGTGGTCTATTTGGGGCCAGCCACTCAACTAGAAGACTAATTGCTTAAGTTGAAAGAGTTGGAAGTTGCCATTCTGACCTTAATTTTCATTTGAATTAATGGAGTCAACGCACAAGCACAATCAAATACGCCAATTTGTTCAGGTACTATCCAAACCCTTTGCATTTATGAGACTCTTGATCTGGCAACTTACGAGTAATGCATTTGTTCATTCATGTTTGCATTTTGGTACAGACATGCATATGCCTATTTTCTTTCCCAAAAGTCTCTCATTAAGTAGACGGCCACTCACACAAGCATATAAACAATCTCTCCCCATGTATGAATCTCTTATCATTCACATCAAATATTTCCTTCCAAATGAAAGTTGATAGTACACCACCAAGTTTGACATGCACCAACCAAAAGCCCTTAAACAATCATAGGAAGCCAACACTCAACTGCTAGCAGAGAGATATCATCAAAATTCAAACCATGGATGGATTAGGCCATAGGAATTGCCAGTTGTTCATTTATCCAATTACTCTAAACTTAGTACATACATAAGAGTTAAATATCATCTTTAATCCAAAAGCTTAAACCATTAGGTCGTGGATCAATCTTTGTACAATTGTATTAGTATCTAAGTTCCTCGCACATCTTATCTCTTTCTAATGTGGGACACAACCATTCACACGTGCATACCAACACCAAGAGGTTTCTTTCCATCTCAAATACATTATTTTCCAATTCCTCCAGGTCGAATGCCCCTTCCCAAAAGAATAAAAAACTATGTTAGGTTGGGAATTGGGCTGTCAAACTGCTGTTCTTTTATGCTGAAGGAAAACTCATTATTCAATGGGAGTAATCCCAAAAGGATTTGGAGTTTAATGACATATTCAGAGTACAGAAAATTGATTGAAATGGGATCTCCATTAAGTTCATCCTAATGCTCCATACCGTTGGCCTGCTACCCTAAGCTAACCAACATCACAATATCACATCACTACTGAGAAATCAAGTCACTAGGTATTTGAGCAATCAAAACTAAGAATATCAACTATGAGTATGCTTTTCAACCTCATCGGCTCGAAATCGGCTTCAGTGCTCACAAGACCGTGTTCACACTGTTCGCACAGTCCCTTACAGCCTTGCATTCATTCCCGTGAAAAAAAAAATATATACAAATACGGAGATAATCCCAATGCATGGTGTAAAAGGCTGTGCGAATGGTAAGAGCACAGTCTTTTGAGCACTGAAGCCAGTCTCCATCGGCTCATCCCACATTTGTCATCTCTTCTTGGCACCTGTTGATTAAAAGAGGTGGAGATCTATGGATACCTCTTACCAACCTTGAAGCGCGCTCATCAAATATCAGAACATACACTTCAGTAAATCAATCGAGTGACCAATTTGGAGTGTATTTATTACCCGTTGGATAATGCAATTCCCAAAACAGACTTTCTCTAATCCTTCAAAATTTTCACGCTGGACTGAATTGTTAAGATCATATCTCAATCATTGATTACTTTGTTTTTTCTTCCATGTCCTACCCAAAGATTACAGGCTCATCTGAGTGTGATGAATGTGTCTCATTGTCTCATGAGTCTCATGTCAAGTGTAGGGGGCATCATATGTACCCTTATTATATAGCACTAATATTCAAGTTAACCAACATGAACCTGAAGCATGTATGTCTTCAACTTGCTAGGGTTCAATAGGGAGAAGCGAATTGTTACATGGAGAGAACAAAAAAGAAAAAACAGAAGAAGCTGCTCCATTCCGCATAAAATTTATGAACAGCCCCTTCAACCATTTTATGAGAAACATTATATTAATCCTTACAGTACAGGGCTTTGTTCTCTGATATCCAGGTGAAATCACTTGACTGGAGCTAGAAGTGTGTAGATAAGGAGCAAAGATACCACAACAATGGCCCCTGCCAGAGTGAAGCTTGGGCTCGTCCATAACATGAGGTTTGACCTCTCAGTTCTCTTGATGGGATCAACTTCCTCAGACAGTGGGTAGTTGGAACGCCTTGGGTTCCAGCTCACATACTTATCTGGATTGAACTGTGAGAAGAAAGTCTTCTTCCCCCGCTTCTTGAAGCTAGACCAAGCTTTGTCCCAGTCTGTTGAGAACCTGTCACCTAAAAGATTGATCAAGTTGAGGAAAGCAAGTTATTATCCGTAAGGGGGAAAGTTGATGCACAAGAAAGAACAAATATCAGAGAAGATTGGCAACAAGAAGATACTAAAAATCCATATCCATTGTGAAACTTGTTATTTTCTCAGAACAAATACCAGAGAAGATTGGAAACAAGAAGATATAAAAATCCCTATCCTTCATCCTTTATAGAGTTTGTTTAGTTTGGTGGGCAGAATCTATATATTTATTGTTGGAAAAGGCTCCAGGTTTGAAAGGTGCCTTCCATCTCGCCTTTTTGGTTCTATATGTATTCCCTAGGCACATCTCTTTGATAGAGCTTCCACTCCCAGAAATCTTGTCTATTCAGTCATGTCATCAATAAATGGAAATATGGAATGGAATAGGCAGTGTTAATTCAACAATGAATTTGGCGTGGAGGCATCACTAAATGGAAAAGCTTTGAGCAGAGCAGATTGGAATGGATGGAATAACAATAAAGGAACAGTTTTGGATTAAGGAGCTTCTTCCGAACTTGGAGTACCATACTGCATTGTGGAAGTTAAGCCATATGCATTTTACAAGTGATCGTGGTTTTGGGGCAAAAGATGCCAAAGCAGTCAGAAATCCCGCTCTGTAATAGTAGTCAGACAGTCGGACTTTCTTCCAAAATTAACAAAGAGAAGGCTTTATCATTTTTTTGGATATAAAGGAACACCTTAACGGAGAAAAAATCACTCATGCTTGAAATTCCTTTCTAAGTGTTTGATGGGAACTAAAACCGTCTGGTGGGAGGATCAGAAGGATTGTTTCTGTAGCCCAGATATATGTAACATCAAGACAGAAAATTCTTCTGTTCCTAGGCAGTTGGAGAGGTTGAGGTTAGAAGTATGGTCTTCATTCATGTTAGTTATTGCTTTTAGCATAACTTGTGTGTCTTGTCATGAGTTTCAAAAGAGGAGAATGTCAACACACAAACACCCCCACCCCACCACCAAAAAAGGGGAAAAAAAGAAAGACAAAGACTTCAGGTTTGTCATCTGAAACAAGATTGCAGAGTCTAGGAGTGAGAAAAATCATTTTGGAATGAAAACTACTAGTGGAACATGAATTCAAGGGATATTTTGAACCATGCTGACAACAGGCACCAAGGCACAAACATGATTGGCAATGTGACGCTTTTTGGAACTCCTACAACTGAGATGAGGCCAACTGTTCTATGATAGTTTGCAGAATCCTGGAAATTGGTTCTTCAACATGCCTTCTTTTATTAGTCAAATAACGGCCTTTGTTTATGGAAAACAGGGTCTTTACCAAAACATGGATTGCTTACTCATTCGTGATAAAGATGACAATTTCTCACTAGAGACAGGATTGAATTTAGGCCCAGAAACATTTGGGTACCATACAGTGATGTGGTAATACACTGTCACTTTGACATTGAATGACACAGCATTGCTATTTTTGTGTTACAATAAACTAGATTTTCAAAATGACCACCTGTTCAAGAGTAGCAGATTCATAAGTTAATCTCTGCCATAAATGATATATCAAAACCATGGCAGGCAATAATACACTGTCATCAAAAGCAGGAAGATTAAATACACCTTTCTTAACTGTACCAAGTGATGTGGAATTCTTTAGCTCCATATAGTTAAATAACACAAGCTTGAGCTATTCATACATACTGGACTCTGTACAGCGAGATGTGAAGAGTCTGTGATACATACTGACTTACTACATCCCCAAAGGAGAAAAAGAAGAACACCAACCCCTGAAAGATACAAAATAAATGCTTGCAACGATGGGAAATCTTGTTCCTTATCGATTCTAGAAAAAGAAACGCCATCTTGATGGTCAATTTAATAGAGTAGATCAGAAATTGGTATACCTCTTTTTAGTTGGCCTTTCTATTTTAGTCCGAGAAACAAGGAAAGAGAAATTAGCAGCCTGCTACCCTAGTTAAGTAAGTGTAGAAGAAATGGCGACGTACCTTTGCTATTGTCGTCGTTGGAATCCCCGTTTTGTGGAGTTCGTTCAGAGTTACGTCGCGAACAGTTGGGTTTGAGAGGGGAAGAAGAAGAAAGAGAACGTTTCTGTAATTTCGTTCTCGACCACAGACTCCGTGCCGTCACTTTTCCCAGATGAAGAAGATCCATGCATCCACAATTTTCGATTACTGGTTTCTAATGGAACTTCTAAATTATAAGAAGATCAAATACACCAGACAGAGCAACAAACGATCCTCTCTCTCTCTCTCACTCACTTATCGGTGGAAGAATACGAGACTCACAGTTGTCCACGTCATCATACTCTGTGCCACGTAGGATGATTCTATTTACTGCGCACTGAGTTCACATCTGCGCTAGGTGATTTAACCGGACATCGGGAACATATCTTCTGCTTTATGTCGCCGATGCTCGTTGTATCCAGATAACTTGTGGAATTCCCGAAAAAAAAAACAATTCACACCTCTCCAACGCTAAAATATGCCTGTAGCTGTAGCGCGCCCTTTGTGGGGGATATGTGAACTCAGAAAAAAAATGTCAACCCCCCTTAAATTTTTAAGGGGGATTTGCTCCTTACCGAGCGCTCCTCATACCAATTTTATAATTAGTTCCAACCATGTATTGAAATATATATTATGAATAATAATTAAGATACTAACATAAGTAGGGGAGATGTTTTCAATGTGAGGCTGAGACATACTGTGAGATTGTTGTGAGGAGTATTGTGTGGGGAGCAGATCTGGATTATATTCACCAATGTGAATAGTTCTAAATGTTCTATCAACAAAAACAATGGTACAAGTGGCAAACACCCTTTAAGGGGGGATGTTTGGAACTGTGGCCGTTTTCAAAAAAACGGTGCCATGTTGATACACATAGACGTTTTAATAAACGCCCATATATTTCATTGTTTAGTTCAGGCGTTTATTGAAAAATCAGGCATGCCTCGTAAATCAGGAACCCACCGATGCATGAAACGTCAAATTTGACATTTCATTAACCGATGAATCGTTTCCCCAATGGTTGACTGATTAATGATTATGTGTATCCTATGTGGTGCTTACCTGTCAGCACATATATGAAAAACGGTGATGAAAATCACTTTACCAAACAGCATAGTGTTGCTCATTGCCTACGTGGCAGAAACACTCCTAAACAAAATTAAAGTGTTTTTTTTTTGTGTGTGTGAAAAACGGGTCTTGGAAGCATGGGCGTTTTTTCTTGAAAATTGGTTCCAATAAACGCCCACGCTTCCAAACGCCATCTAAGTATGTGTTTGGTTCTGTTTATGTTTATTGAATAAATATTTGTACTTTATTTGCTGGTAAAACCGAGAAATACAATAATTGCAACCGTTTATGACAATTAGGCACCACTTCAGCGTAAAAGTGAATAAACGTCTGGCCGTTTGTGGAAGCTTCGAAAAATAACTTCTACAAACGGTTGGCGTATACATAAACCAAAGTTCACTTTTTATATTTTCGATGTATGCATAAGAGCAAAAGAGAGAAAATATTGAGATGGTGCCTATGTGGTACCATCAATAAATGTTTAATGAATAAACGTAAACGGTACCAAACACCATGTAAATCATTTCAAGTTCAAACCATTTACAAGTCATAATTGAATTATAACTTTATATTTTATTTTTTAATATAAATAATTATAATAATAACAAAAATGATATTTTTTGTTCTAATGCTTACCAATGTCAATAGTTCTAATGTTCTATCAACAAAAACAACGGTACAAGTGGCAAACACCCTCTAAATCATTTCAAGTTCAAACCGTTTACAAGTCATAATTGAATTATAACTTTATATTTTGTTTTTGAATATAAATAATTATAATAATTTAACAACTAATAAATGAAAATATTAAATGCAATGGGGGAGGATTGGGAGTAGGAAGTAGGATTCAACAAATTGGGTGGGGAGATTAAAAGGAAAAAAAAAAAGGGAAAATTACAAATTGCCACCACTATTTTAAGGGTAGTGGCACTTAGCTCCCAAACTTTCATCCGTGACAAATACTGACCCCTGGACTTTCAGATCCCAACCAGGGGTGGAGCCAAATATATTGACAGAGTCCTTGGCCACCCCAAACTTTTTTGTTAAAACATTATTTATATTGTTACTAAGTGAAGGCTGGGTCAACATGGTAATAAAGTGGGTTGTCGGCCCCCAAAACTTGAACGATGCGCTTTTAGAGCTTGCCCCGACTGAAAGCCGAACTCAAATGCAAAATGGCAGTCTGTAGTTGGTGTGATAATGAGGAGAGAAAAAAGGGAGTGGCCAGAGAGAAAAGGCCTCTTAAATTCTTAATACTTCGCTCTTTTTATTGCTCATGAAAATTGTTTGGGTGAACTTGTATCTAAGTTTAAACTTAGGGCCTATGAAAAGTAAAACCATTCAACCAAGACAGTTGAACCGTTTAACCATCTTAAAAAATGATCCAACCTTTGGATTGGTTTTAACTTTAATGCACTTCTCACACCAAACTTGCTTCCCTATTCGTTTGTGAAAGAAAATGAACGATTATCGTACTTTCTGAAACCCTAAATTAGGGGTGGTCATGAGTCGAGTTTGGCTTGTGAAAAGCTCGGCTTGATTTCAATCGAGCTTCGAACCGAGTTCGATCTCAATTTACAAGCTCGTTTATTAATTGAGTCAAGCTCGAGCCTAATAAAACTCGGCTTGTGAGATTTGCGAGCCAGTTCAAATATATAATAATAATGATAATAATAATAATAATGATTACTATTATTATTATAGAAAATAATATATATAATAGTTTTATTTTTATATATAACAATAACTAATTATTATACTTATTTTTAAGTATCAAATAAACGATATTATATATATATATATATATATATATATATATTATAAAACATTTTTCTCAAGTAGAACTCGAATTTACGAGCTTTTGACTCGAGCCGAGTTCGAGATCAAAGTTCTATTTTGAACCGAGCTCGAGCTCGAACTCAAACCTCATACTACTTTAGTGAGCCAAGCTCGAATAGTTAGATATTCGGCTTGGTTCGGCTCAAATCCACCCCTACCTGAATCACCATGTATGTTCATCCAACTCAGTTGCTCTTGGAGTTTTTACTTTATCAAAAATCTTTTGCCATGCATCATGAATAAGCCATTGCATGTGAACATCTTTAAATTAAGAAAAAAAAGAATAAAATTAGTCAATAATATGACTAGGAGATATCTCCAACACAAGAGTACAGCGTTTAAGATTATCGTGGAATAAGGTAGTGAACATGTGACCAATCAAGTGGAATATACAATGAAGTCTGGACTCACCCCATTATTCTTCTATGCCAGAAGTAGGTGGTTATATGTCTTTACTGGATGTCTTAAGTACCCCTTTCTGCCAACTAGCCAACTAGCCAACTAGAGAAATCATATGTAGTAGTCAAGAATTCCAGATTGTCGGACCAAGTTTGGATTTGGTGTTCAGAGAGAGATGTATTACATGTTACTTTGTTCTTATCAAGAGTTAAGACATTGACCATATATGCAAATTTTTGACCATTTATGCAAATTTTTTATTTTGAAAAATCTATTTATAATTTTATATTTCTTTCATAGAATATGTCACACACTTTGATTAGTTGGAGATAGATAAGGTACCAATTTAAAGTCTCCCAAACCGTGGAGGCCCATTCCGCTAGCTCCAATAGAAAACATCAGGGACTTAGGTCATGTTTGGGAGTGTTTAAAAACAAGTGCTTATTTGGATTGGGACCATACCATTAAGCACTTATTGGTGTTGGGAAAATAAGCCACAAATAAGTCCTTATTTGAAAATAAGAACTTATTTTTTAAGTCCAAATTTTTAACTTTTTTAAGTACTTATTCAATTTTTTTCTTTCGAAATTATCCCTATTTGAATTTTAAAACACCACTTATTAAACTATCCTTAGTTGAACTTTATAAAAATATTTTTGTAAAAGTGCTTTTATAAAAGTACTTCCGTAAAAGTGCTTTCATAAAAGTACTTTTGTAAAAATGTTTTTGCAAAAATAATTTTATACAAGTGCTTTCGTAAAATTTGGAAATAAATGAAGGACAAAATAGTAAAAAATGCTTATTTGAGTGCTTATTGGAGAAAAATGCTACCAAACGCCAAATATAAAATAAATAAGCACTTGAAAAAGTTAGGTGCTAAATGCAAATAAATGCTTATTCAAATAAGCATTTATTTTCAAGCACTTCTTTTTAACATAAGCACTCCCAAACATGGCATTATATATTAGGACTCCACCGTCTTGGATTTGGAGGCCATGGCGATCAATGATCAATAACAATCAAGTAGGAAGCAGTAACAACAGTAATGGTGGTAAATCAATCAAGCCATAAGACTACCCTACGAAGTATAATCAAAATGTGTCATATATGTTGAAACTGAAATCTGAATTGGAATGGTCTATTTCTCCAGTCAGTTTGGTTCAGATCATAATTGGAATCAACTAGAATTGAACCTCATCCACAAAGGGAGGGGGAGGGAATGAACATTCCCTCAAACGGTTGGAATTATAATGGATCATTCTAATTCTGATTCCAAACCCTTATTACTGCAAAACAAGTGGACCCTTACCTTTTAGCTTTGCCAGCATAACACATGTAAGTTTAGGCTCAGTTTGGAAGGAGTACAAATACAAATATGTAAAGTGTAAAACTATTTACTTTCTATTATTTTGTATATATTTATACTAGTATAAATGTATAAGAGTGCAAATAAAAAAAATACAAATTCTCGTTTAATTTTATTTTCAATTTTACTTTATTCTGTTTCACATCTTAATTTACTTCATTTGTACTAGAGCCAAACAAAATAAGCTGAAATCTGAAACAAAAAAGATGTCAGGATCTATAATCAAATCATTTGCACCGTCATAATTTTGCGTCAGTGCAAATTTGCATCCAATTTATATTTGCACTACAAACAACTTAGCCCCGACTTCAGAATTAGAATTGATGACATTTGCACTCTTTTGCAAAATGGGCACCCCTCCTTTGTCTTATTATATTTGACAAAAGACGGGGATTATATCATTTTAACTCCCATTTTTCTCCTCACAGACAAGTAAAACAATGTCAAGCATATTGCAAAAACCAGAATTTGCACTCGAACCAGTCAATCTGCAAAAGTAGTAGTGCAAGTTCTGAGGTGGAGTGCAGTCCAAAAAGGTTTATCGCACTCAATTTAACTGAGAGTAGTTACTTTATGCGAAAAAATACGCATAGTGTTATGTTCATGTTCAGTGTGAGAAAAGTTCAACTACGATGCCATAAAGGCAAGCAAGACATGATATCCACTAAAAAAAAAACTTGCAGCCAAACAACCACATCATACAAGTCATAACAAATCAAGTAAGAATCTATTAAAATTCACCCGGGGTTGGGTGATTGGTAAAAAGCTCTAGCGGATGTTTCAAAAAATGGAAGAAATGAACTGTCAAAAAAAAAAAGAAATTAT